CGGGCCCCCCCCCGCCCGCCCCCCCGCCGCTCCCAGGGATTCCCCTTCCCTGACGAGGACCGGGGGAGCCCGGTCGCTAGGCACCCGGGGATGGGAGCGCGCGCTGTGATCCGGGGCCGGTTCCCCGTCGCTTGGGAGGCCCTTTCCTCCCCGCCCCGTGGCTGGGGTCCCCGCGAAGCCCAGGGCCGTGACCGTTCAGGGTGGAGCAAGAGCGGCTTCCCAGAGAAACCGCGTCAGCTCTTCGGGGAGGCAGCGTGTGGCGGGCTCTGCTGCGCGCCCCGCTCCCTGCTGCTGCCGGCGGCGTCGGGGCCGAGGGGAGCCCCGCGCACGCTGGGGTCTGACGGGGGGTGACAGCGGAAATGGAGCTATTCATGTACACGAAGTTAATCAACGGGCGCGCTGCCTGGCTCCCCGCTCGAGGCTGACCCATCACCTCGAGTAGGCGTGCGAGGGGACGGTAGGGAAGGGGGAGAATAATCTCTTCAGCTGACCAAGGAGCTAGGGATGCAGGGCGGGGACATGGCCGTGGCCCCGGCAGGTCGTCGACTCAAAGCTAAGCCAGGAGCGAGACCTGCCTGGTGTCCCCGAACTTGGCCTTGTTTCGTGAGCACAACGAACGCGTGTCCGGTCCAGGCTCGTTTGGAAACCAACAATGGAGACTCGAAAGGGCACGTAGCGGAGGGTCAGAGTGCTAGCAGACTGTAAGCACGCTTAATGGGGGCCCTGGAGTATTCTCGGGTGAGCAGCTGTGCGGCACAATTCCATTCATGTAGTCCTTTCCACCTTCTTCAAATGTCACAAGTGAAATGAACTGGGGTGTCTCATCCTAGTTGTTCATAATGGACGTTTGCCTTCATTTCAGAAGCACCATACTGGTTGATGCGCTTTACAATCCTTGGTCAGGATCCCCAAGTTGCAAAATAACAGGGGTCACAGGTACGTGGAGAACCTTGCCTCAAAAGTTACTAGTTGCTGCAAGTTTTCTTTTACTTTTATGAACATAGCATACCCCCCCTTTTCACCAGAATAGCTGTTAGATTCTAACCTCAGAGATTCACCTCTACTGCTACATATCCATGCAAACTTGCTACTATATTTTATAATATATCAGAATGTGATATGTATATCAGGTTTTAGCTTAGCATCTGGTCCCCTTAAATAAAAAAACAAAAATAGCATTATCCATTCCTAAAGACTGTTTAGGAATATTTGCATCTCCCCCCTCCCCCAGCAGTAACAAAGGCAGCGGTGTATAGTGCTGTAATTCTAAACTTCAAAGTAGTCAATAGAACCCTATCATTGGTCCCTTCTTGCCTTTCATCTGTTCCAGTACCTTATGCTGCAATTTGGAAGGGACTCCAGAGCTAATAAATCAAACAAACTGATTGTAAATTAGATGGACATTTACAAGTGTTGTATTTTACATAATTTGTATATAGCAGTTCATTAGGTATAGACAAACATAATAGATTTAGTTCTCACAAGATGTTTAATTTTTCTGATGTTTTGATTAATATTTTATTAGAAAGTCAGGATTTCATGTTAGGAAAGATCAGAGCCTTCCTTCAGATTATCAGATAAATGTTTCAATGTGTTTCAGTTAACCTGATAGTGTCATTTATAGCTGATTAAGTAGGAAGGGCTGTAACAGTCACTGAGTGGTAAACCAGTCAGGAATAATACAGAAGTGCTTACAAAGTGGTAGCAGTGCAGTAGGTGGCACTCTTCCTACTGATCAGTATTGCTCCATTGTCCAGCATAGAGGTGATGGTCACTGTACTATCGGAGGGGCCATTTGATTAGATTTAAAATTATAATCCTGATGGTTTCTGGTCATTAAAGATTCCAGATGAATGGTATGGGAATAGAGTTGTTAAACTTGGTACACTGATTAAATTTTAAATCACATCAGAAGCATGCTGAATAGTAGACAAATGCCTGTTTGTTATTAATCATCAATATTTTATAGCCAGTAGACAGATTTTTTATCACATTTCAGGTTCTAAGGATATTCTGTTTTTAATGTTAGGCACACACAAAAACAGGTGTTAATTTTAGAGAGATGGACAGCAGTTGGGAACTTGGTTACTGATGCAGAACTACTTTGTTGTCTGAAGGCTTATCTGACAGACTTAAGTGGCTTCTTTGAAATTTCTTAGTAATATACAGCTTCCAAATGAAAGCTGTTGGAAAACACAAGGGCCTCTATCTGCTACCGTAATGTAAACATTTAATTTCATGTTGAAAGTGCAGAGTTACATATACCACAAGTTAGCCAAGTTCCTAAGTCACAGAGAGGACTCTAGCAATCCTTAAAAAGATCACCAGACACCTGGTGATCACCAGGGCCTCGGTATGCCCATGTGAATGCTCTCTCTCACACAAAGCTTCACATAAGATGGTTGCTCCTTGCCTACACACATACATGGCCAGAACTGTACCTGAGAACAAACACTGACACTTCCGGTTGATCTCATTAGAGAGCAAGAATCCCTTACTTTCTATTTTACATGGGTTGAGCTGAGTCAATCATCCTTTATGGCTGAACTAGAAGATTTACCCAGCCTTGTTTGGGTCCTTAACTGAATGATTTTTTTTTCATTTAAATCATTGCTGTGGGGTGGGGCTGGGGCTGAGTAGTTCAGCATGCAGGCTGCCCCAAGGAGAAAGGACTAGCAACTTGGGACCAGGTGAGAAGTGCCTTTTTATTCCCCTCCTCCCCCTCCCCCCCGGACAGCTACCACCACAAGATTGGCAATGGATGGACCTGGCACCCTGGGAACAAAAGACAGATAAGGGGGGCCCAGAATGTAAGGAGGTTGGAGGCTCCTCCACTGGTACAGTGGATAAGGTACCTGCCTTCAAAGCCAGAAGTCAAGGGCTCAAGCCACAATCCAATATGGGGTCACCCAACAACAGCTTGGCAATGGATGCACCTGGCACCCTTGGGACATAGGACAGATAAGACTCACCTTGTACAGTAACAGAGGTTCTTTAAGATGGTTGTCCCTGCGGGTGCTCCATCTTAGGGGTTTGGGGCACCGCTACACACCTAGTCAGAGATTCACAGCAGCAGTGCCCTCCAGTAGGCTGTGCATGCAAAACAGATGGCATGCACAGTGTGCTACTACACATGTGCTACCAATCACCTTGGCATTTCAAAGCAGCAGTGCTGCATGGAGCCCAGGATCAGCTGGGGAGACCCCAACTGATCCTGGGCTCCAGGTGGCACTGCCCCCTTGAAATGCCACTGCAGCATTTCAAAGAAGCAGCACTGCTCTATCGAATAGTCAATGCAAAAATGCATCAACTACTCAATTAGTCAATTACACAATACTTAACATCCTTAGTATGAACCACCACTGATGTGGCCACTGCCATATGGCCTAGAAACTGAAGACAGGACCTGGCTGGAACTTGTGGGTTGGTTTGAAGCAGTGCAATAAGGTCCTTGATGAACTGGAATTTCTGTTGTGGGAGAGAAGCTATTGCCCAAGGACAGTTGAGGTGAGCCCCGATAAAGTCCATAGTCTGGGCTGGTTGTACTTTGCACTTAGGCAGATTTATCTGTAGCTCAAGGGTCTGGAACCAAGCCCTGGTTAAGGAGGCATCATGGGCTTCTTGACTTATGGTTGACTTCATCAGGCAGTCCTTAAGGTAGGGGAATATAGACACCCCCTGTTTGCAGAGGAATGCAACATCCAATGTGAGCACCTTGGAAAAAACCCTGGTTGTTGTGGAGAGTCTGAATGGCGACTTGTTGCCCAGAGCAAATCTTAGGAATTTTCAATGTGCTGGATGGATGGATACATGAAAGTACACATCCTGGAGGCTGAAAGTCAGTAACCAGCCCCCCTTGTTAAAGGCTGGTATTATAGTGGATATGGTGACCATCTTGAAGCCTTGAGGCCATATGTGACAGTTGACCCTTCTGAGATCAAGAACTGGTCTCCCTCCTCCTGACCTCTTTGTTGTGAGGAAGTAGTGTGCCCATGTAGTGCTGGAATACAGGTTCTATGGCTCCTAGATGAAGATGTTTGATCTCTGTGAGATGGGTCCCTGAAGGATAGGGAAGGTGGATGGGGAAAAAGGAGTAGAAGAGAAAGGGATGCGGTATCCACCCTTCACAATGTTCAACACCCAATTATTGGTCATAATGGAGGACCATTGATGGTAGAAAGGTAGTAGGCGATGGCAAAATAGGTGGTGGGACTTAGGTTGCCTTAGATGAGGGGGTGTTATTGGACTCTTGACCTGATATTCAAAATGTTTGTCTCAAGATTGAGGGCTGGGAGGTAGAGTGATAGTCAGGGGTCTGCCTCCATCTACTTTGGTGTTGCCTTTTATTGTCAAAGTGCTTCTGAGCTTGAGTAAAAGGCGAAGGCTTATAGCGCCATGTAAAATATCTACTCTGTTTGTGCTTTGTTGCAGGGAAGTGGATGCCGAGAGTTTTTAGTGTTGCCTGCGAATACTTGTGGGAATGGAGTGACACACTCGGTGGTGTCTGCAAATAATTTTGAGCCTGGAAGGGAAGGTCTTTGAGCATTGTCTGTACTTCATAGGGAAAGCAGGCTACATGAAGCCATGATAATCTTATCACGACAGCGGTCGCAATGGATCGTGATGATGTGTTGGATGCGTCCAGGGTCACTTGTAGGGCTATGGGTGAGATTAGAGTGCCCTCATTTGTATTGGCTTTGAACTGTTCTCTTTTGTCATCAGAAAGGCTGTTGATAAAGTGTGAAAGTTGCTTGAAGATGTGATTGGCATGTAGTTGGATATACACAGCTGTAAAAATGTGGAGGAATATTCCTTTCAACCCATGAGGTCTGGGCACTTCCATTCCTTATCATACAGTGTGATCCTAGCTGCACACTGTTTTCCCCTCTGGCTGACACCACTAAAGAGTTGGGGAAGGGTAGGCAAACAGGAAATCAGCACCCTTCAGTGCAACATAGTATTTACGGTCAGATCTTCTGCAGACCAGTGGGATTGTTGCTAGTGTCTGCCAGATGATCTTGGCAGGATCCACGAGCACCGGGTCCATTGGTAAGGCCAGTTTATTAGCTGGGGAAGCATGTAGTATGTTGATCAATTTATGTTGCATTTCAGGGAGACTCTCCAGGGAGACCTCCAGAATGTCCGCCAACCTCTTGTATAGTTCTTGGAAGGAGTAGAAATCATCTGCTGCCGTGGGGAGAGAGGGCATTAAGATGTCGTCCGGGGAGGACGACAATATATAAGTTGGAGGGTGAGAAAATACAGAAGATCCCTCATCACTCAAGGCTGGGTCATCTTCCTTTCAGTAGGCTGACCTGTCCAGAGATGGCAGGGATGTTGCTGTAGATGGTGCTGCTGGAGTTGACTGAGGTTGCATCTGCTGTGGTTACTGGGCTCGGTATGATGCCCAGAGGTGCCAGTAAGGCCAGTTGGGTGGGAGTGGCACAGGAGGTGGCAACCATTGAGGTAGTTGTCATTGCAGTGCTATTTGCTCCTGCTGTTGCTGTGGATGCTTTGGAGAAGAGTGCCTTGAGGTGTGGGTGCCAACCAAGAGCTTGTCGTCCTTGTCATTCAACAGAAGTGTTGCCGAGCCTGATGGAGTTGAGATTGGGAACCTGCCTGATATGGCTGTGCCGTTGGTGCTGAACAACAGGGTTGTGGGCACTGAAGTTACTCTGAGCTCCTCCGAAGTAGTGAAAGAGAGCAGTGTCAGGGCAGGGTGTTAACTGCCACAATCTGTGGTGCCGATAGTGCCACATAGGAAATCGTTGGTACCACCTGCCTAGGTGCTGATAATGCCATGTGAGGCTTAGTCTTCGATGCCAACGGTGCCTCAGCCAAAGCTGATTTGTCCTTTGCTTTCATCGGTACTGAGATGGATACAGATGATGCCAGTGGTGCCAATGTAGACTTAGCCATAGGTGCTAATGGTGCCATGTGAAGCTTAGCTGACGGTGCCTCAGCCGAAGCTGATTGGACTTTTCTTTCATTGGTATCGAGACAGGTACAGATACTGCCGGTGATGGTCATTTAGATGTAGGCTTTTCTAGCACCTTGGTGCCTGTCTTGGTGAGGTCCTTAGACCCCTGGGGAACCGTCTGTGTCAGACAGTTCCAGTACCTCCCTATCTGGTGCTCTGGGAGAGGTCAGTGCAGAAGCTATTTTGGTGCTTGTCCCCATTTCTTTGAGGGGGAGTCACCCCTACCTGAAGAATGTGATCTCTTCTTGGATTGCTCAGAGGAAGAGTCTCTCATGCTCGAGCCCGCTGGAGCCAGCTTCTCGGACATGGTAAGGGGAGAGGGCTGCTGAGATGGGGTAGAGTGCTCCGGGTCCAAGGCTGGCCTCACCATATTCTCAAGGGAGAGAAGTTTGTGTTGCAGTTCCCTTGCATTGTGCATATAAGCCGTTAGCTGCTAACAGTGTTGGCACTGGGCGGTGGTGTGTGCCTGCCGCAAACACCGTGCACACTGGGAGTGCATGGAGACAGGAACTGAGATCCTGCAGGAGAGGCAGTGTTTGAATGCTGAGGAACCAGGCATCCCAGGGAGAAAAAATTGTCTAAGGCTGAAAGACAGCCTTAACAGGTACAAAAAAGTCTCTCTTTTTAAAAAAAGTAATTAAATGTAACTAGAAAAAACTACTACTAACTGAACACTATCACTAACACTATACTGACGGATAAGAACAAGATCAAATTTGAAAAACTGTTGTAAAGCTGGAGAGCAACTGTGGTTCTGACTGATGCCAGCGGTGGCAGAGAAGGAACTGAGGGGATGTTTGGCTGCACATGTGAGGCAGTGGCACCATGCATGCCGTCTGCTTCGCATATGCAGACTACCAAAGGATACTGCTACTGTATATCTCCAACTAGGTACGCACTGGTGCCCAAAACAGCTAAGGTGGGGCACACACAGGGATACTCCTCAAAGAAGAACTGAGCACTTTTCCCTGGCTCCCTGATAAAGGGCAACAGCCAGCAATGTTCCCATACAAATCAGGGAGGGGAAAGTGTCAGGGAGGGGATGCCCGGGAGCAGAGGCAGTCCCAGATGGAGGAGAAGGATGCCTCAGCCAGCTCTTTTCACCTGCCTGGTGAGTCTGTCTTTTTTGTACAGTTTTATGAGAAGCAATCCCATTCCAGGAACATCCTATTTTCCTTGCACAAGCAAACCTTTATCTTGCTTTAAGTTATGATAAGAGGAAGCTGTATACAGGCAGTCCCCGGGTTACGTACAGGATAGGGACTGTAGGTTTGTTCTTAAGTTGAATCAGTTTCAACAGCGGCTGAATCTGGATGCCAGTTCCGACTTACATACAGATTCAACTTAAGAACCCCAGGCATCCCCAAGTCAGCTGCTGCTGAAACTGATCAGCGGCTGATTCCAGGAAGCCCAGGGCAGGGGCTTCCTGTAGTCAGCTGCTGGTCAGTTTCGGCAGCGGCTGACTTTGGGACGCCTGGGGCAGAGCAGCTCGGGTGCTGCTGGCTTGGTCCAGTAGCGTGGC